CAAAATAAATTCCCCTGGGGAAAAAAAAGCATTTCTAAAGAATCCATTGGTGAAATCACTATCAGGAAGCATCGATCAGAATCAGCCTGTCCTGTGGTAATCGCTTGTGGCAGGAAGGACCTGCAGTACTCGTGCAATGGTGTGTATGGATTACGTCTAGACATCAAGAGGGTTCTTCAGTGCTTGTAGTTGGAGTAAATAAAGCTCCCCTGACTGACACTCAGCAAGCAGGGCCAGGCCATAGGGCTAACCCAAACAAAATACTTCAATCTCTCACCGTTGCTCTCCACTGCTCCCCAAGGGCTTGATTGATTGATTCGCCGGCCAATCAGAGTACATTGATCTCAGAACTCGACCCCCCCCCCCCCCACACACACACACACACACACACTCTTAACTCCCCAGGCCTCCTCTCAGTCCATTCATCTGCTGGCTGTCAGAAGTATTCACTTGGAGGGCTGTAGCTGTGGAGACCCGCACTCTTAAGCACACCTCTCTGTGGCTTTCCCGAAGAAAGTGCTTTACAGTGCCTCATATTGTTATTCAGGCCTCCCTTGATCCAGTTGCTATCGCTATCATGAAGCTCATTCCTATAGAGAGTCATGATACTAAAAGCTTGCGTAGTTCCATCCATCCATTGTTCCATCCATTATCTTCTGCTTATTTGGGGCTGGGTCGAGGGAGCAGCAGGCATAGCAGGGTATTCCAGACATCCTTGTCCCCAGCAACATTTTCCAGCTTCTCCTGGGGGACCCCAAGATGTCCCCAGGCCAGAAGAGATATAAAATCTCTTCTCTTCTGGGTCTACCCCAGGGCCTCATAACAGTTGGACATGCCCTAAAAACCTTTAAAAGGAGAGGTCCAGGAGGCATCCTGATCAGATGCCCCTTCCCCGTCCGAGCTCCCGCCGGATGTCTGAGCGCCTCACAATATCTCTCATACTTTAGTCACGACCCAAAGCTTAAGACCATAAGTGAGGGTCTGAACGTAGATGGACTGTTAAATCGAGAGCTATGCCTACTGGCTCTGCACCCTACTCACTGGTCCGGTACAATGGCCACATCACTATTGACGTTGCACCCGCTCCATTTTACCTTCACTTGTGAACACGAGTGGGGCAGTGACACATTCACAACCTGTCAGGCACAATCCACCGTTTTCTGGCAGAGAACCATGGACTCCAACTTGGAGGTAGTGATTCTCTCTGCGACTGCCTCACACAGGATGAAAAAAAGGCAAAGATAAAAACCCTTGTACATGAAAATACAAGGAGAGCAGTGTAGAGAAACTCAAGCATTTTGATAAAGAATAGGCTCTGTATAACTTCAGATGCTGGCTTGTTATCATCATTTGTATTGTCAATTTTATCATCAAAAGTAATTCAGGTAATTTCTGGCTGTCCATTAAGAAACCAAATTCATTTAAAACACGCAAAACATTCATTAGAAATGGAGAAAGAAAAAGAATGGTTATGAGAAATGTAATTCATTGAATAAACATTTTTGACTGAAGTCTTTGCTCAGAATGTACCATCAACAAAGTTCTCTTATATATCTTTTTGTATTTCATTTAGTTTATGCTAATCTGTTATTGGCCACAACAAATATAAAGGATGATTTCCACCCTTTGGCTTGTTAAAAACCAAAATAGTTACATTGCGTTGGTGAAATGATGATTTCTAAACTTCATCTTAAGTCCTCTACCACTGTATGTACGCGAGTGATGAACTGGCAGTAATGCAATGGATGCATACAGTGAAAAAGTAGAAAATAAATGATAATGTTTGAAAGACTAAATTACATTCTAATTGGACAGTCCTTTCTTTCTGAATTACGTTTCCATTTTTTCTCGTGCAGTGCTTAGCTACTTATGTTGGCCAACGCAACAGTTGGATTGTTGTAGCAGCCCTGGTGCACTGTAAGCTGAAGGCAAGAATGGATTTGTTGATTTGTGGAGGGTGGCAGCGGCCTCTTTTTGTTATTCATCTATATGTATAGTATCCCCTGTAAACTGAATCTGTGGTCTTTTGTTTAATAAATAATAAAGGAGTGTGAAGTAACATGATGCCATGGGTTGGTTTTTCCTCCTGTTCTCCCCAGGATCAGAACCCAGATTAAACATTTGTGGATTCATTAGTCAACCATTTCATCGTGTTCTACCCATTTGCAACACTGAAATGTGAATTTACTACGTTTCTGACTCTCCAATGCGATGGCTCAGACTATTTGGTGTGTGAGAGCATCCACTACTGGGAAAATGTCTGAATTGTATGATTCTTCAGCGCACAACTTACTTCCATAACCCCATAGGTGCCATATGCAGAGAAATTATTAAGACACATTTTGGCATTAGATGTTGAAGCCTCTGTACACCCAAACAGATGGATTTGGTTTATTCTGGTTTATTAGACCTCTGCAGGTTGAAGGAGGGTCTGAGCTTTGATGGGAATTTCTTAGGTCACTAATCTTTATCTGGCAATAACAATGATAAAGGTGTAATTTAATCTGCTGTTGGGAATAACATAGCCTCGAATAGGGGGCAACAATATGTTGGGAACATAAAGGAGTGTGTTTGGGTTATCAGTATCTAAGAAACTAAATTCTTGACATCAATAGAATTATTAATGTCAGTAACAATTATTAATGATTATTAATAATAACGGGGCACCACCCTGAGAACAGGGACCAATAACCAAACGATAAACTAAGTCTCATAATTAGTGTTCACTCACAATGTCAATAGTCTGAGTACTATTACACATTCAGAGTGAAAGTGAAGGTTTAAGTTCGAGCACAGACCACATATACAGCTATCATCACAATACATGCACAAAGTAATCAGACAGCTGTTCTTTAAAATATAACAGAGTTTATTACGTTCTAATACTAATGATCTAGTCGACTAATATCTAAACTAACAACTATACATTCATGAGCACGCTATCTAAAATCAACAGACTATTGAAAAGAGGAGGGGGGAGTGTGTGTGTATGTGTGCGAAAGGGGGAGGAGCGAGGGAACAGCTCAGCGACGTATGACGTAGTGACATCTCTCATGTGTGAGACTCAAAAATGGCGGATAGCCAACAGGAGACCTGGCGTCTATACGTGCCGGTAGCCGTTTAGCACGTAGCTAGATTAGCTCAAAGCTATATGTGTGTGTGTGTGTGTGTGTTAGTAAAAGAGAAGGGAAAGGAACAAAACAAAATGAAATAAAACAAAAGATTAAGATCCTTCGCGCCGCGCTGGAGTATGGAAGATTGCTCTCTCAGCCAGGGGAGCAAGAACCGTGACTCTTTGTCTCAGCCGGCGGTTCTGACCTCCTGAACTGATGAGAAGCAACTTCGACCTCACTGAGGCTGTCTCGACACGAATCACGGTAGCATGAAATGCACGCTAACTTCTACACAACACTAGCAATTTCAGGGATCGCCAGTGTCGGTGATCATAAAACATACACCACGTTATAAAAATGAAAAGTACTTTAAGCACACAAACAAGATAAAATAAACACAAATTAACTCTCTCTAACTCTGCCCAGAATCTATTTCGCCTTACGGTACAATCAATCACGATGCAATCGTGTTGGTTGAGGGGGGTTCTTCTGAGCTTCCGTGGGCTTGGGCAGCGCGGCTGCGGGTTGCGGGAGGTGTACTCTCGGTAGGAGAGACTCGCTGTCGTCTGGATAAGGGATTTTCGCGTCCTTTAAGGCCGGAGCAAACGAGGTGCTTGGTGGAGAGTGGAAGTTCTCTCTCTCTCTTTCTGAAGAAGTCTTGCTTCTTCACTTCTGCAGGAATAAAAGGGTTCGCTTCGTGGATACGAACAAAGATAAAATAGACAGTTTGGTGAATTCGGCCAACGAATATAAACTGTTCGACCTAGGATTTGGTTGAAAAGGGAAACAACGTTGGTGTGCTCCCTAGCTCGACGGAGGTCGAAGGGGAAAAAGCATTGAGGTGGGGGTTGCAGGTAGTTTTGTAGAACAGTGGCTGAACCACAGGGGTCCTGGGGTGTCTTGGCTCTCGGCCAATTAGATTGCAGCGGTGCTTTCAGGTGACTTCAGGAATACAGTTTTTGGGGGGAGGAAACTCACACCCTAATGTGAATTTCTTCAGAGCTGGGGGTTTGGTGCTCAAACTACAATCAGGATGAAACCTTTGCTTGCAAAAGGGAAGGCCTGACTCTCTCTGTTCCACAGCACATGTCGAAGCCATATAGTCAGATCCCAACACTGCCAAACAGGTTTAATGAAGCTAACAGGAGACTCAGGAAGACGTTACTCAATTAGTGTATGCACCTCCACATAGTTGTGTTGACATGTCGGGGGCTGGCTTGTTAGGTGTCTTACCAGGACCTGGACAGGGCTGGTCAGATAGAGGGTGACAGGATTTGAATTGACTCGTGAGTCGAGTCTTGACATATAAATAGGCAGGATAAACCGATAGACCCAATGACAAAGTATTGTAAACATCACAGTTTGCGTTGCTTCTAGAGGCTGGAGCCAAAATGCATAGGGATTTAAATTAATTCATTCATTAATATTTAAATATCCCTATTTTTACAACTATTACTATAACTATTTATAATTAGTCTTTGCGGCATGCATGGACCGATTGCTTGGTTCCCGGCATTGCTGCGTAGAGTGTTGTCGGGACGTATCTGTTTGTTGTGCTAGGTCGTTCAGAATGCATGGCTCTTCGGAGCGGGATGATTGCTTGGCTCCCGGTCCCCGATGTGCTGCAGAGAAAGAGTTTGGTTGTAATGTTAGTACATCCAGCTGATCTGCAGTTAATGAGCCACAGCCTGTAAAGCCACACTGATGTGGAAGTCTGCAGTGCCCTGAAGCTCTGCCCCCTCTGCTATACGCAGCAACTACAATAAAAGCTTTGTAATGATTTGCACTGTAACGAAACAATGTACTGTTAAAGCACATTTTTCTAATCAAAACAATTCAACCTTGATACTTTGATCAACTAATCAGTTGTTTCTCTTCCTTTGACAGGGGGGATATTCGAGTCCATTGAAAGCGGTCCATCAGGTGCTGAGGAACTAGCCTTTAAATTTGCTTTAAACACAATCAACAGGAACAGAACCCTACTGCCAAACACCACGCTCACCTACGACATCCAAAGGATAAACATCTATGACAGCTTTGAGGCCTCCAGGAAAGGTATTTCTGTGTTTGTGATCAGAAGATCTGCCTCTGGTGTTGGCATGCTCTCGGCTGCTGCGTGTGTTTGTGTATATATTGAGCGAGTGAATGTGTGTGTGCACATACGCTATGCCATAGCTGCTTTGCATTGTAAATGTATTCCCCGTTCGAGGCTTGTGAGCTGCAGTGGCTTAGATTGTGACAATTATAACCAGGCGAGGGAGAAATGGCTGAGCACTTCAAATGTAAACAGGAGAATTGATTGGTTCCAGGTAATGACTCAGCGGCAGTAATTCAAAGACCGGTTTGGCCCCCAGAGACAACCAATAAACTGCTATAATCTATCAGTTTTGTGTGTGCATCAGGCTGACATTTCAAGTCTCTTATCAATTACGGGCCATTATATCCTGCATCAGTGATTTAGCCAACTCCCTTAAAAAGGTGATTAGAGTGCACAGTCGAGCTAATACAAAGACAGTGCACTTATTTGGATGTCCCCTGAACACAATTTCATGACAGCAAGCTCAAGTTGGTCACACTTTTTGCCTCACTGCTTCAGCTTTCTATGTAAATGCAATGTAGCAGAGGTTGTTTAATCAATATATATATACGTATATATGCAAACATTCCTCAAACAGGAGGAATGTTGGAGGACTATGCTTTAGTTGGGGACTATTTTCAGTGGCAGATCAGCAAACGGGATTCCAGGGCATACACATCCAAACTATTTCCTGTTTCCTGACTAATATAATAACTGGAAAACTAGCTCGTTTTTAGGCACTTTCTTGATAATTTTCTAGGCCAAGACGTACAAATATACGTATCATCAAAGAAAAACTTAAGTCCGCTACATAAGTCTATTACATCCTCCCTCCTGGATGGAGTTCATGAAGTTGGCAGGGAAGCAAATTCAGCAGCATAACGGTAACGGCCCACTAAATTAATTTAGTAGACCGGTCTCGTTCTTAAAAAGTTACATTTTCATTAAATTTTCCTTTTGCGTATTAAGCCATGTAGGCAGCTGGGATTAAACTATATTTAACTGACTGTATTGTCTGAGAAGCACATTGCACAATGTTTGAAATGCAGAAGTAAAATTACATTTTTGTTAACAATGAATGATCATTGACTTTATTATTATCTAGCTTTAACTGGATATTACAGAAGGATCACAACTGAAGCCTCCAAACACTTAGAGAACATGGAATCTTTCTCAGCTTAATTCAATTACAATTACATTTCATTTGAATTACTTCCTTTACAATGAAAAAATGTCACATATCACTTCCATAAGGTTGTTCTTAGTAGACAGATCACAGCCAATTTCATATTCCTGGCAGCGAAGCTATAGCGATAGTAAAGTTCAAGGTGTATCAAAGTTTGTTATCTTCTTTGTAATGTTGATTTACTGAAATGGCGTTCATTTGCCTTAATGATTATTGATACCAATAACTAATACTAATACACTAAAGCAGTCAGGCTGGGAGCCCATAGCTTTATAACCACCAGGGGGCGACTCCTGTGGTTGTATAGAAGTCTATGAGAAAATGACTCTACTTCTCTCTTGATTTATTACCTCAGTAAACATTGTAAACATGAGTTTATGGTCTCAATCTCTTGTTTCAAGTCTTCTTCAATACAGCATGATGTTCATTTAGTACATTATGGTCCATTTAGAGTCACAGACCATAAAGCAGAGTGCATGGTGATGAAGGAACATGTCAGCTGGTGCAACAGTGCGACTTATTGATGTGTTCTTGGACAACAATGGAGCTTTAAGGCACAAAGGATGAAGATTTACAGTATCAGGCTTAATGCATGCTTTACTTGTTGCCACAATACACTCATTTTTTGTTTGGCTCTGCACATGGGATTTGTTGACAAAAAGAAAAATATGGAATATCAACAGACTTACAGTCTTAAAAAAAGATGAATAAAAACTAATAAATGCTGTTAGCATATTCTATATCCTTAACGCTGAGTTGTTGCATACAGACATAATTCACAAAAGCCTTATTTACATCAGACAGTATCTCCTATAGTTTGGTGGGGATCATGGCACTGGTTGTCAGCTTCACAGTAGGAAAAAGCTAACTTGTCAAATATTCCTCCTCTTTAGCCTGCGACCAGCTCTCTCTGGGGGTGGCGGCCATCTTTGGTCCCTCTCACAGTTCCTCGGCCAATGCGGTCCAGTCCATTTGCAATGCCCTGGGGGTGCCACATATCCAGACTAAGTGGAAGCACCAAGTATCGGACAACAGAGACATCTTCTATGTTAGCCTCTATCCAGACTTCTCTTCCCTCAGTCGGGCCATCCTAGACCTGGTCCACTTCTTCAAGTGGAAGACGGTCACTGTGGTTTATGATGACAGCACTGGTAAGACCACAAATATTCTTCTACTTTTACAACTGTTTTTTTCATTCCATCCATCTAACTTGTCCATTAGTTTTTAATAACCAATAATTCATCATCATTATTGTCACTAGGGTGGATGAATTTCCTGGATGCACTGCATCTTGAGAAAACAAAAGCAAAGGTTTACCAATCTGTCACACGATACCAGTATTGCGTGTAGAAGCAAACTGAAAATAGAGAACATACAAGTTACAGACATACAGTAGTATACATATGACAACCAAAAACGCTACACCATATTTCAACAAGGACAAGACCTTTGCCTTTTCCTTTTGGAATGATGAATAACTTTCAAACAAACAGAAGTCAGAAACTGACCCTAGAGAATACATTTGGAAGTTCCTGGAAAATTTAGTACGTGATAAAAATCATTTTTTAACAAATCAAATGATAAAAATCATGGTAGGCCACACATACTGTAAACACTGTTTTGACCTGATGATGGGGCAAGATGGAAGGTCAGACGGTCACTAAAGCTCACATCTCAATTCATCCTTATTGGGAATCAATAATTCATGGCAATGCACTCGACAGTAAAACAGTTAATGTCAACCTCATAGTGGCGCTGGAGGGAAAGTTAGGGGATTACCAAAGTCTGGACTCATCATCCTCTGGGAACCATGAATGTCTGTACAAAATGCTTTGCTAAAGCATCCAATAACTGTATGGATATTTAGTCTGGATGAAATTGATTGACCAACCTTATTGATTATCAACCTCGATTCTCTCGATGTCACAAGATAACACAAGAATCACGGAATCACATATCACATCAAAATCCATCTTGTCAGGCCTGAAGTAATGTGTTTGTGTCCAGAAGGCCAGAGCATGGACCAATCAGCATCCTGTGAGGAGCTACTGGCAGCTATGAGTGTGACTTCCGTGTGTGTGGGAGGCGAAGATGCTGCAATAGCATCAGTTATATCAGAGCAGAAGAGTACCTCTTCATGGAAAGAAGAGCAAAAAACGGCACTGAAAGCTTTTCTCCATGGAATAGATGTCCCCCTCCCCCCCGACAGATGGTTCATTCAATCTCTTGCTGAATTATTTTAAAAGTGCCTGCCTTTTTTCAAACAGTTTCCAATGACAGCTTCTCAGACGGTTCTGTGTAACAAACTATCTGGCGGATCAAGATAGGACCAACCTTCAGGCTGACAAATTGACATTCCCATATTTTGAACCACGACACTAGCATGGCTAAAGACAGCCTTATTTAAAGGCTACATGCCGAACTGAAAGACGTTTCCCACATTTCTGGGCCATTCTTTCATTTCAAATAGCAGAAAACATGGAACACAAGATCATACATTTGCAGCACCATTATTTGTCAGCTGTGTTACTTATGTTGACATGCACATCCATTGTTATTGAATTGGTGAATACTGTTGTTTCCTCCATATGCTTCTGTCTTCTTCGATTTTTTTTATATTTTAAGATGGAATTGATATTTGATATACAACCTTAACTAATGTGGATGAGCAGACTTAGGTTTTTGCCCGGGTATAGCCGAGTATTGTTACCCCATTGTAGATAATTCATGGAAGTCAGAGAGCTTGCAAGGTTGCAGAAGACAGGCTTTCCCTGTTACTCGGGGAAGCAGATCTTGCTATTATTGCAATCAACAAATAAGCTAGCATGCTTGGTACATGTACCATATGCTTGGGGTCAGGGTGTGTGCCAGCCTGAAGACAGGCTGCCAGGCCTCCCAGAGCGCCATCCAACTGACACACTGGGACCAACTTGGCCTAGATCACAGTACTGCAGTGTGTGTTCACTGTGTTTAGCATTCAGGCCAGCTAAACTCTGCTTTTTGAAGTCATATGCTAATTACATCTGCTAGATTACAAACAAATCCAAATGTCAAATGTTGCAGAACACAAAGTCATTCCTTTTCCTACTAAAGGCCGGGACCTCAGTTTCCTCAATGTTAGCTACAGCCCGATGATCTTACAACATTGTTACAGAATGAACTGCTCAGCAGTATATAGACTGGCTTAACATCGCCATCAACCACAATAATAACCTTTCCCATTTACATAACGTTACTGTGAGGAACCTTTAACTCTGAATTGAATACTGATGCCTCTATATGACCTACATATGTAAACAAGACCACCAGAGAGAAGATTGGCTATTACTATCAGTTATTCCTAAGGCCTGTCATCGGTGGCATTGGGTCAGATTCCGGCAAAATCAGATGAAATCATGCAAGTTCACCAGAAACTCTTTCTACTAAAACTCCAGCGGCGTCTTAGCCTTCGACCTGCAGTTGGAGCTCCGGTGGAGAGCTTTACATCGGGCAGCAGCATCTCCTCCTCAGCCAGAAGCAGAGCTGCGCCTCTCACTCCACCGGTCCCCCCTGGTGAGAGTCAACACCGACACCAAGCTGATGGAGACGCAGGCCGTATTAATGGGCCCGTTGGAGGGAAGGGAGGCACGGGAGAACCAGAACCATGAGCGGGGCAGACTGTCAGACCCTGCTGCAATAAAAAAAGGGACTCTGCTGCTCGCTTTTGTCGACAGTCATCGCTGAAATGAAAGTTTCTCATAGTAGCTTTAAGTACATTTTGCCAATAATGTTTCTGAAGGTCAACTTTCTAACTCCACACCCTCAGATTGTTTTTTCATTTTCAAAAGTGGAGCCTTCAGCCCCAACTGATGCTAACTCAAGTGACATAACTTTAGAGAATTTATCAGGGTTCACACAACTCCACCTGGAGACACCAGAGACTTCATACAACCCATCCCTTCTATTCACATATGCTGTAGTATGTCCCAACACAGTAGAAAGACTGTGATGTGGAAAATCGGGGAAAAAAAGGTACAATTTTGAATGCAGGAACATTGGTTTGGTTTATATTTGTATTTTGTTGTTGTGATACTTTACTTAAGTATAAGCTCTGAATACTTCTTCTTCCACAGCATCTCTACCTATACATTTACTGACATACAGAAGAACAGAAAGACTTTGCTGGTGAAAGTAATAGGCTGAAATGTGTGAGATTGATCAATACAGTGGTTCTTAATGAGAGGTCACTTTAAATGTTACCAGAACCCACATTTAAAGAAAAGACTGAAAACCAAACCTGCAAGCTTTAAAAATGTCTACACAGTTGAATTTGAAATTTGTAAGAATGTGTGTGTAGGTGTGTACGTGTGTGTGTGTAAGTAAGTCTTTGCCCTGCAGGTCTTGTTGGCAGCTTTAGGGAGGAATTGATTGTTGCTGATCCTGCCACCTCTGTTAATTAAGTTGTAAAGTGGACATAGCTGGTTCACTATGGGGTTAATAGTGGCTTGATTTTCTGTCTCGTGATAGGAAATGAGATCCTGGCTTGACCTGCAACCAGCTTCACCTTCTCGTTGTCGGCATTTACACAGATGACCTGATAGCGCGGACAGATAGCATTGATGGTGGACACTGAGGGCAAACAGAAATCTGGACTGATTGGAGTTCTTGAAGAAGTTCAGGCCAGATTCTATTTCATTTGGATCTGTTCTTCTCTTGTTTCAGTACAAGAGGCACATTTCCTGATGTGCTGAGCAAAGTCAGCGCAGCAGAACATTTATATTATCATATAATTCTCATGGGTTCTCCCCCCCACCCCACCCGCTGTTCTAAATTGTGTCTGCTTTTCAGGAATGTGATATAAAAGGGGGTAGGAAACTACCTCTCTCTTTGTGCTGTTTCTCCACCAAGCAGGGAGCAAACAAGCAAATCAATAACCATAATGGGACTCCTCTAACGGCTCAACTTTATAATGGCAAAACTGAGATGGCAGCAGCATGTGTTATAGCTCTCCCAGCCAGCCATAACATCCATACAACTACCTGGAACACCGCTGTTGCTGCTGCTGCATAGTTTGATTAGGCCATAAGGGAGTAAAGGCTAGTATACAATAAAGCATGGCTCAGAAAGAACTGCTTCTTTCTGCTATTCACATTATGGAGTCTACACATACCTCCATTTGTCAGTAACCACACAATACAGTCTCGGCTTTCAGCTTCTCAATCAAGAAGATTTGCTCCCTTTCTTTGTCATTGATGACAATGAATAGGAACTATAGAAATAGAAAAATGTATTTGTTCATCATTTTAGAACATTTTATAGACATAGATAGGGGCCAGTCAACATTTTATGTTGACTGGCCCCCTCATCACATGTTTTATTTCAGATCATTTCCTTCATGGTATTACTTAATAGTGTCTGTTGTGACTCAAATAGTATCTCAATATAATCTGATATTTTGGGATTACATTTTATTAACTTCATTACAATTTGAATGTACAATGTACATATATAATTTGTATGAGCTTACTTGTGTGCAAAGCTGACATTCAGTCCTCAGAGTGGCACTAAAGGAAAGGCTCTAAAATGTTCTAGAATGAAAATGATTCATCTTCTGGGGAGCATGAAGGGGTTTTTCCTTTTCTGATGCGAGGGTCCAAGGACAGAGGATTTTGCCTGTTGTACACATTGTGAAGCCCTCTGAGGCAAATATAAATCAAATTGGAACAAATTGAACTGAGGCCCTCCCTGAGGTGGCGGAGGAAAGAAAAGAGACTGTATTATACCGGCCAATCACATCTCCATTCACTGGCACTCAGCTCCAAGTCCTTTTTAATTGTTCTGCAGTGTTTTACTCCATACTGTTTTTCAGCCTTGAAAACGTCTTTTGAAGCTCTGACTGCAAAGTAAAAAACAAAATCGAATTTTTACCGCATGCTTTCTTCCATTAAATGATAACTTAAGGAGTCCTGAATCTGGACATGGTGGGGCTGTGGTGCTTGAAGAAAGGTCAGCTTGACACCATGGTCACTACGAGTAATATGGATGACTGCATGGTGAAACCAAAGCGGTCATTTGAGAGATTCACGAAAATGATTCAGAGCCATGTCTGACAAGCTGAGTAATTAGAAGGAGGGCGTGTCTGTTCTTTGTATATCCTGGTGGGATGTCAATG